TGATAGAGTAAGGAAATAGTAATCCCAGCAACAATTTTCTCGACGAAAATTACTGAAATTCTAAAAACAGGCAGCATTTATTAATATTCAGTGCTGTAAACAAGTGAAAAATTCAGTAGAAGATTCATGTTAAAATATATTAAAATTTTTGTTTTATACAAGTATAAAATTTTTTGCTGACAAGTGAAAAATTCGGTAGAAGATTAATTTTAATGATTTAGAATTTTTGATAAATTTTTTGTAACAACTTACATTTCAAAAAATATGCTTTTTAGACCGCTTAGAATTCGTAAAAGTATAATTTTTTTACTTTCAGTTGAACTTACCTAAAAAGAAACAAAAACAAAAATGATTTTAGTATTATAAATAATAAGAATATACATACTTATATATTTAAATATTTTTTGCATATTTTTTAAATATATGTGTAAATACATATAACACATTAAATTAATTGTGTGCCTGTACGCATAGTATTTCAGACAAACGTTTAAACACCTGGTTATAAATGTCGTTAAGTGTTTATCGATAATATTTATACCTTCAAAAAATTGCAAAGAAAATTTCTTTTAACTCAAATGACAAATTTGAAATTTTTCTTTCAAATAATATTGCCGCCAATCTAAAATTTTTATAACAACAACAAATTTACAAAAAATTCAATCTCACTGTTAAAAATCCGTTCCTAAAGATTTAAGCAATTCACTACTGTTGACTACAATAACAAAATCTCAGTAATATCACTCCAGCTGGATCCTTACATTTTTCAAAGGCAACATAGTAAATTACAAATCCCCAGAGTGAACTACAATAACAAAAACAAACGCATAACTGCATTACGCTTACAACAACAACAAAAACATATTCAGTTTGTTTGAAGAACAGGATGTGTTCGTTATAACAAACACGCATTTCAATTTATCAAATCGTTGAATCTCAACGGCGGGTCGTGCTGGCGAGCGTTCTAGCGATCGGGCGACTGATCGAACGAACGTGTGTAACATGAGTAACATACAAATAAGTACAAGAAATGGCACTTTGTAAGATGTAATGTTGGGCATTGTGGCAAATGTTAGGAAAGGACAATACTTTGTTACTTTTTTTTGTTTTTTTTTTTAGATAAGTGTGTAGGAATATTTAACATACACGTAATGAAATAGTGAGAAAAAATTATAAATGTATGTGGTGTAGTATAAAACAATACACAATAGTGCATATGTTTGATTTTAAATATATAAACTGGTGTCGAATGACACTTATATACATATATATATATTTATATTTTTTTTAGTCTCTACTTCTTTTTTTAATTTTTTTACAAAGGTTTCTTTTTTAATAAATGATATGATATTGTACTCAAACGTGATCTTGATATACATATGTATGTATGTATGTATGTATGTGAAGCATTGAACAATATTATCAATGCTTATAAAGTTTATATGTTTTTGATAAATAGCATAAAAATAGTATATAATCTACACTAGGGTATAATAAGAAAACCAGAAATGAGGGCATATTACAAAATTTGTGATTTGATGCAAATATGCATATTTTTTAGATCTATTTATTTTATTAAATAGATTTAGGTAAAATAAAAAATTAACTA